GTCACCTCTCTTTATGTACCTCACCTAAAGTGTCTGTTTGCACAGGACTTTTCCAAATGCTTTACTTCCTTTTTTAAAAATGTTGCTGAGTAGGTGGGGCAGAAAAAAATTTAACTCTCATAAACTCATGTAGCCTAAGTGATTCGCTCACCCACATTTCCAAAGCTCATGAGAATGGAAACTTTTTAAACTGAAGACTTAATAACTCTTAGTTCTGTGAAGCAGAATTGTATAAATAGAAAGCACAGGTTCAAATTCAGGACTTCTGGGATTGGAACCCCATCTCCATTGCTCACCCACTGTGATACCCTGCATTAGTTACTCAACCTCTCTGAGCAAACCTGAAAACCTAAGAAAGATTTCAGCAAATCAGCAAAGAAACCTAGAAATAACTGAAAATTCATCTCGCTTTAGTTCATTATTTGGAGGCAGACAGGCATCCTAAATTCAGGATCTCAGGGAGAATAAAAGCAATTATAACGAAGCAAAATAAAATAGACGCTTTACACTCAGGTGGGGAACTGCCAAAAATCACCTCATACATTTTTAAACGGTCTCTGTTACTATTCTAAAGAGTCTTCTGTTACCAGTGCTCAGTGGCTCAGCAGTTCTTTCTTAGTCAGAGCTTCTCTATAACCACAGGCCCTTTACGGCTTCCACACGGCTGTGTCACTGAAGACTCTCAGCAAGGCCAGAGCTCCCACCCATCCATACTTCAGCGCCATTCCCCCAAGGTATTGATCTCTCGGTTGGTCTCCAGGCCGAAAGCATCTCTACCAGCGGCCAGGCCAACATTCAATTCCCTGTCTCTCATGCACCAGAAACCTTGTACCCTTCATCAAGCTGCTCCCTACGACCTTCAGCTTAGCCGACTGAATGCCATGCTGGACACAGAGTGAGGTATTAGGAGGGGCTATCTCACTGAGTCCCCAAAAAAACGTCATCATGGACAAGGGACAACAGGTATTTCTGCCCCGGTTATACAGGCAAGGAGCCAGGGTCTAGATGAAGTGGTCGGAGCACATGCAGATTCCCCACAGCAAAGAAGGGGTAGTTAAAACCATCTCTGGGGCTCTTTCTGGTGGTGCAAGTGGTTAAGAAGCAGCACTATGAAGCTATCTGCCGAAACTGCAGCACGGGTTCAATCCCCAGCCACAGAGGTGACCCACATGGCACAGCAGACCTCTCCTGTCTCACCCGCTGCTCCCCTCAGCAGTGTATTTCAGTCAATCTGCCTGTTCTGCTCCCCACTCTGTCTCTGGTGAATCCTCTCACCTCCCCTACACACACACCCCTCTGGCCTGTACCGCAGCTCTTTTATGCATAATTTAAAAAAAAAATAAAAAAAAATAAAGCCATCTCTGCCTTCAAACTCAGAGTTTTTCCCAGCTCTACTCCAGCAGCTGCCATGCTCCTTTCTACTACCCTTATCAGGGGCATTCCCTCCTTGGGAAAGCAGAGCACTAATTAACGTATGTACTGATTAATTAGCATCCTCCAAAAAAAGTGAGCACAAGCTATCTGACCAGATGCTGAATTCATGTCTCTTTATTTTTATCAGAAGTCTCTATCCCCGCACTAACTTTCTTCCATCACAAACTCCCTGAATCAGGGACTTTGTCCCTATAATGCAATCCTTCGCAAGGACACTTAGTAAGTGGATTTTATTTGTAAAACACACACAAAAAAACCCAACTAAGTTAAAACAGAGGGGCAATTGCCTATCTTACCTCCCCCCTACTTAGAAGGGGAAGCAAAATGGAGGGTTTATTCATCCTTCTCTGGGGAGCAGGTGTCCCTTAAAAACGATGCCTCGAATGCAGGGCAACTTATTTCGAAGATGCTCTGCCTCAGCTCCACTTGGAAATGTTTTGTCCTATTGCCCCATAGTTGATTCATCCTTGTCAAACTCAGCGCCCTCATTCTATGCTTGTAATATATAGTCACGGAACTTAAAAATAAACTTCTATTTTTAAAAAACTGGCCTTTAGAATTTGAGGTGTTTTATTTTTAAAACTTGCCCCAAAAGCTTATTTCTCTGCGGTCTGGGGGATTCTTCATTTGCCTTCATGCAAATCCTTTAAGCCTCAAAAGTTCCTCTGCACAGGTCTGGGGGTCCTGGCACTGCCTCTCAAAGCCCCAGGGGCCCCTGATACTTTTCCTCTGCAGCCACCAGCCACCCACCAGCACATCATCTCACCACCCCGACTGAGCCTTCAAATCTCCAGCTTCTGTGTGTTTCCAGGAGCTCTTTCCTCCTGTTTCCTCCTCCTACCCACCTCTTAGAAACTTGTTTTCAAGTGAAAAGTCAGATTTTAGGCTATTTTAGGAAATTCTGTAAAACTATTGGTCCATCTCTGTTTTCTGATGGAGAGAGAAAAAGATGGACTACTTGGGTGTCACAGCAAGGGATGGAGAGGAGACAGAAAAAGCAGAGGAGCATCTCCTCACAGTGACTAGCAAGAACCCACCTCACTGGCTTCCTCCCTCCCTTCACTCCAGGAACTGTGGCACATCTCATGGCTTCAGGAAGCCTCTCCACGAAGCCAATTCCAGGATGGCCACCATGACCAAGTGACGGATTCTTTCCAGTAGGACAATACCCAGCACAATGCTCTATACCAGAAGAGAAAGTAAAGTGGCAGGTACGGGAGACTTTAACCAGCATCCACGGACTTGAGAGGCAACACAGCACGTGGCCTCTGCAGCCCCAGCAAGCAAAAGCAAGTCCCGCTTGCCACTTACTGGCTCCATCATTTTGGACATATTACTTAATCTCTCTGAGCCTCCATTTCCCCATCTATAAAATGGAGACAAATAATGAGACTTAGCTCCCTGAGTTGTTAAGAGTTTAAAATGAGGGCCTCCCTGGTGCAGCAGGGGTTAAAGTTTCAGCACTATCAAACTATCACCAGTCACTGCACCATGAGTTCGATACCTGGCCAGGGAGCTGACCCACATGGCGCAGCAGACCTCTCCTGTCTAGCCCGCTGCTTCCCTCAGTAGTGTGTTTCAGTAGCTCTTCCTGTTCTGCTCCCTACTCTGTCTCTGGTGAATACTCTCACTCCCCACACCTCTGACCTACACCCCAGCTCTTATATGCATAAATAAAACAAAACTTTAACAAAAAAAGTTTAAAATGAGATAACGCGTGGGTAGCAAGAATGCCCAGCATACAATCAACACACTCCCAACAGCTAGGATGCATAAGAGTACAAGAGCCTAGTCTATCCCCTCGGTCTGTATTTTCCTTCCTCTTGTCATCATCCTATTATGCTCTTATAGGAGACCTCACAGAAGCATCAACCAGTTCAGCCAAGAAACTTGTCCTGGGGCAAGGTAATGTTGAAATAACAAGGGTAACACAAAAACCCACATAAACAATACACACACACACGTGTGTATTCCACCTGTTAGGCTGTCAAAATACATAAACATTTGATTCAAAAATTTGGCTCGTTTAGTATGGTGTCCTTTCAGTGTAAGATTGTGCCCTGAAACCATCACTGCTAACATATGATATATTTTTCTAGGAACAATGATGTTTCAAGAAACTACTGGAAGCAATACTCAGTGGGTTTTCAATAGGTCCTCTACATTTTCCACGCTGCCTAAGATTATCCCTCTGCCCTAAGGAGCGTGGGCCACACGTGCCAGCATTTTTTCTAAGCTCTCCCCCTGCATCCATGTGAAATACTACCTTCCTCAGATGATACTGAAGTTCCTCCACTTAGTACTTTCCTCTTGACCTTTCCTGGGTGGAATAGAGGAAGCTCCAGGACAGACGCTAGTCATCTCTGCCTGCGGCCGACAGATGGCGATAGTGATCACATATGGTTATTTTCTCCAGCCAAGCCCTGCACTGAGATGGGGCTCAACTGGCCAAAGAACAGGCTTGCGCTGTCTGTGCTAGGTTTTGAGGTGTTGACAAATATCATTAACCCCACAGCGTGTCTTTTAAGTAGGAAACGAAAGGTGATTTTGGAAGTGATGATAACAAGCACAAGATGACAACGCAAAGGTAGAGACAATTTTAAAAGCCCAAGTGATGAAAAAAATGTGCACTTGTGGTAAAATGAATCATTCGAAGGACAATACCCATGTGAGAAGTGCTGTAGCTAAGCAGTGAGCAATAACCAATAAAGCAAGGGAATAACAACTCAATAAGTGAAAACAGCAAAAACAAAACACAGCCACAAACAAAACACTCAGCAGTTAGAGAACAAGCATCAATGTCAGACAGTAATTAATTTGTCATATGGCAATTAACCTAACATTAATGTAGGAGAGGCGAGGATTGATTTGAGGGCTTAAAGCAGTGGATCTCAGCCATAATTGCACACTAGAATCCCCTGGGGAGCTTTTAAGACTCCCAAAGGCGGGGCCAGACATCAAAATCTCAGGGGGTGGGACCCAGGCATGTAGCACTGAAAGCCCTTCAGGTGATTCTGAGGTGCAACCAGTAGTTAGGGACTGTGGCCTCCAAATCGACATGGGGAAAATGCAGTTGCTGCTGGCTCCTTGGATTAAAATCCACTCAGATATGCAGATCCATGGGAGAAGAACATGGACACCTTAGCAAAAAGTAAATCCCTATGACATTAGCATCTTCAAAGAAAGAAATTATCTGCCTTATGGGATTTTTCTTTTTATATTCTTGACACTCAAAAGGTGGGCAGGGAGGAAGCGTGGACTACCAGGGAGAGCACACCTTCACGTTTGGAAGCAACTATTCATAGACACATTTGAAGAAAAATATGTCACAGAGCTACAAGCTTCAACATCTCTTAAGTCATTTCAGGGAATCCATTCTCAAGCAAATAGACACGCAAATACCAGCATCTCCCTCTCCTTTTCCACTCCAAGCAATTAGACTGATTCCTGCTCTTCCCTCCAGTGACCTTCCACCTTTCACAATCAAGTTTTTCAATAAAACAAATGGAGCATTTATTTCTCAAATGCACCCCTCAGGCTGTTCTCACCGCAGCCCCCCCTTTTACCTTGTCTGCCATGATCATAGAGGAGCCCCCGTGGATGCCCAGGATGGGGGTGAGAGTCTGGGCGGAAATGAAGTCAAGAATCTGGGCGATGGCTTCCTGGTCTGTGTCATCGGCAAACACCACCCCCTGGATCTTCCGGTCAGACATGAGATCGCAGATGCGGGTGATGATGCTCTTTGGGTCGGTCTCATTCATGGCGACCAGCTCCACGCGGGGCACCACAGAGAGATGGTGGAAGTCATCTTTCTCGTGGGCATCCTTGATGGCCACCTCGTCGGATGTGCCCACGAGGATGACAGCAATGCCAATGCTGGGGGCACTCTTCTGAGAGCGAGCTCTGCTGCCTGATACGGCCAGGACAGCCAACACCAACCAGAACTTGGGAGAACAGCACTCTGCTCTGAGCTTCATCTTCAACTCGTCGACTCCCTGAGAAAACACAAAGAGAGAGAAGGTCATGGATGAACCACACTACGTCACCTATGTATGTAGGCGGACCACTGCGAGCCCAGGATTACTGACCCACAGTTGCCGCTGATCAAACCCAACTTGAACCTTCTAATCTAGTCTCCTGTTGCTCATGTTCGCTTTGCAGAGTAAGAAGGAAAAAAATCTTTCGAGAGCATCAAAAATCCTTGAGCAAGACAGTAAAAGATGCCTTGCTAAAGCCACAGCAGCAAACAGACAGAGACAAACGAGGGAACAGCTGCAGCAGGTGTAGGCTTGTGAAGGATGCCAAGGCAGGGGTCTGCAAGAGGGGGTCTTGCTGTTGCTGAGTGATCGCAGGCTTTGTCCTCCCACACCCACCCTTGAACTGCTCTAGAGTCAAGGGAATGGCCAAGGTCAGGCAAACTGAGCAGCAAAATGGGCTCAGCTGAGGCTTGCCACAAAACATGGGCTTGGTAAGCTGGACATGGAGAGACACAGACCAGACATATTTTTGTTGCCTTGCTTTTGTTTCACCTCAAAGAGCTGGAAAATTCTTCAACCACCCTTTTGGTAGCACGATTTTTATACTAAATCAAAAGAACAGCCGATGTGTGGGCAATACTTTTGAAAACATCTCTACTGATCCTTACAAGAACCCAGTGAGAGGAAAATAAGATATCCCCATTTTATCGATATTGAAGTGAAGGCTCCACATAGCTAAGAGGTCCAAGACCATGAACCAATTAGGTAAAACAAACTGGAACCTGGATCTTCTTTTAGGCCAATTTGCATTCCATTGTGTTATACCACGCTGTCCCTAACAGCATCTGTCACCACAAGGAAGAGTTCCATGCTGATTTGTTTCCACATATAACAATTTGGACACTGCAACGGAGAAGTGTGGTAATGTTCAGGAGGCGCCTTTCAACACTATCCCGTTTGTTGCAGGCAGCATCCTATCGCAGTGACTTCCCAGAGAAGGCTGAATCCCATTCACCCTTTTACCTAGACCCTTCGACCCATGAACGTCCACCTACTTCCCTCAATCTTCCGCTATGCACTAGACTGAGGGCACATTTTCAACAGAGCTTGGTCATTTCTCTTTACACTTCTCACCATTCTCCAAGAGTTCCTCTGAAATAGAACTGGCGCTGCTTATGTTGTTTTGGTTTGTTTTAAACAATCATTTATTGTAAATCTGCTGTGTGCAAAGCACTCTGCTAGGCATTTTCTCAAAGGTAATCTCTTTGGTCCTCATAGAAAGCCTGTACATTAGTCATTTTATTCCCATTTCTCAAATGGGGAAACAGAAGCTCAGAACGGTTATGTAATTTTCCCAAGGTCAATGATATTATAATGCCAGTAGTGTATAAGCACAGCATTTTTATACTCTGAGGAAATATTCTACAAACTGCATCCAGAACCAGAATCAGGAATTCTCATCCTTCTACAAAGATAGAGTGTAATCAAGGATGAAAATGCTGCCTAATATGTGCAACTTCTTTGAGGGGGAAAAAAAAGAAAAGTAAGAGATTCGGGATTTAGAAACTTTTGAGAGTTTACCTAACAAAAAGAAAATTCAACAAGAAAATGTTGACTAAAGAAAGCTAAGGATGTGTTCAGGCTGAGTACACCGACTGCAAAGGGCATTAATGATTTTGGAGCCAGGTGTGGGGGACATTTTGTGGCTGAAGAAACACAAGATACAATCCAGTTCTTGGCAGGAGACATTTTGGAACTCTTGCTGTTGAATTCATCCTTCATTTCTGCCAAGAAGGAGACCTGTATCGAGTGCTTTGTCTATCTCTTATAAATAAGGAGAGTGGCTCACTGGTTCACAACTAGCAACGTTTACTCCTGAAAACTTTCTAGTCTCCATATCTCTGTGGAAACAGAATGATTACATGAGTCCTAGAAATCCCCGTCCAGCAGGAGGGTCAGAGGCAAAGTGACACTGTGTAGAATTGAGCAACACTGAATATTCACATGGCTTAAGCAACTCAAAGAGCTATTGGCAAAATAATAATAATAATAATCTATTCCATTTCCAAGACTTGTTCTCAAGGAGAATGGAAAGATTTAAGATTTTGGCAAAACTAGAGGCTGACTCCACTCCGATGGGATTCAAATTCTACAGTTACAAGTCACTAAATCAGATTCCTTCACATTGAAAAGTGGTCCACTCCGCCATGACAGTTTATTAACTTTAATGCACTCGACATTCTCCTACTTTGATGTTTTATTTGCTCTCTTTAAAGTATCTCTTCTGTTCCTCTGTGGCTCCTCACACAATATATTATGCTTTGTTATGCAATGGCTAGTTGTGACACTCAAAGAATGGAATCTGGTCTTACTGAGTGTCTCTTTTATACTCAGGACAGAGCAAAGCACTTTACAAAGCAATACATTATAGGAGATACCGGGAACAGAGGGACTTGGAGACAAACAAAGATGCTGCTTTGAATACAAACTCAATTTCACACATTAGAAGGGGGTTCCTTGAAAGGAAACTTGTATTCCAAGATAAGCAAATTGGTTTTGCTTGCTTCCACCAACCAGCCAGTTACTTTAGATGTCCCTCCCATGAGAAGCTTTGCACCCTCCTCTCGGCTGCACTTCCCCTGCCCCCAGCAGAATTGAGCACTGTTTTCTGGGGGCTCTCCCCACAGCCTGTACGCATCTATTTAAGCACCTATGATAGTCTATAATAATGAAAGGATTATGTGCTGCCTGTGCTAACTGGTTGGTTGTCTCCTGGGTGGCAGGGACCTTTTCAGTTCTAAGCACTTATCGATCATCTACTACCTAGCAGACATTATTGTTGGTGTTGAGAATACAACTGACATACACTCTGCCTCCAGGACCACAGGCCAGCAGCAGACACAGGCACACTGAAAAGACCTGGTCTCATTTCTGTGTGTTCTTGGCCTCATATATAATAGGAAATGACCCAATAAGTGGAAGCCAGTGAATGTCCACCATTTTAAAATTGCCAATATTTTTTTAAAGATTTATTTATTTATGCATATAGGAACTGGGGTACAGGTCACAGGTGTGGGGGTGAGAGGATTTACTAGACACAGAATGGGGAGCCAAACAGGTGGACAGACCAAAATACACTGCCGAGGGGAGCAGCAGGCAAGAGAGGAGAGGTCTGCTGCCCCATGTGGGTCACCTCCCTGGCCAGGGATTGAACTCATGCTGCAGTGGCTGCGGATAGCTTGTGCCACCAGGGAGGCCCCCAAATTGCCAATATTTTGACTATAATAGTGACCTATTTCATACTTAGATATTTACAGTAACATTTTACCTATAACCTACCACATGGCAGCCACTACTACTGTCAGGTGATTCTCATGTACTGTTCAATCACAATAAAGCTCATGTCCTAATTTCTCCCTGTATTACAAAAAAGGAAGTTAATAGTCTTTGTCTTAGTACCAAGATCACACAGCTGATAAAGACAATTTCGAGTTTCCAACCAAAGTTTGTTCCCAAAATCCTTTTCTTACCATTCTGCTGCCTCTCAGGATTAAACATATGAATGAATGAATGAGTAAATGAGTGAATGAGATCCCCAAAGAAAACCAAACTGCATTCTATTACCAGTTCCATATAAACTAAGTGCCCTAAGGATGGGCAAAAAACTGATCACTGTCTCTACTTCCTCAGGGGTGAAATCAGGATAATATATCTAACCTACATACCTGAAAGAGTTTTTGAGGATCAAATGATAATATGTATATGGAAGTGCTTTGAAGAATTTAAAATACTCTATAGATGCAAAGGATGTTACCTTTAAGTTTCTATGGAAGCTGTTCAAGGAGCCTCGCTATTTATGAAAGCATCAAGTCAGCATGTGGGAGGTGGGGGTGAGAGAATGGCAGACAGAAGCTGAGAGGAATGTTAAGAGGAGCTACACAGGGGGCAAGAAATATCAGTTTCTGGACGGTTATATCTCCCTGGAAAAGATGTCATATAATGACATCAGGGTAGCAGCAAATTCCACTGATGGTTTTCCAGATGGGTAGCAGAATTCAAGAGTCACACCATTATTGAAGGTCATTAATAGGAATCAGTGGAGCTCAGCACCCCCAAATCATGCTGTGAGATGAGGCACCAAGTAGGACCACAACAAAGCAGGAGAACAGGAGTAATGACAGCACAGCCCTCTGCCTCCAGGAAGGCCCATCTGAGTGGTTCCCAGGTCCACAGCAAGCAGGAGACCCAGCAGCCAGGTTCACGCCTGCAACTGCAGAATGACCATGGCCAGAACCAACCCACATCAGAAACCAAGGGAAGACACAGCTGAGTGAGAAGTTGGGTCAAACCTGTCTTCAGAGAAAACCAAGTCCTGGGACGACCCCAACCAGAAGGATAAAGTGTGATTTAATAGATGATCAAGTCAAATTTTCCAAGCACCATCCTTTAATGCCATCAAGATGCTGTTTGGAATGATCCAATTACACAGACTGTGATTAGAATATGACAGACAGTGAGTAAAATGAAGATTAAAAGTGCCAGGACTACACATCAGGTCCAGCATCCCAAACTACCAGTAATTACAGAAAGCCAGGAAACATAGGCTTAAAATATGTCAGATTAGAGTGTAAAGAGCAACAACGGATCCTGTCTAGTATAAATGAAGTGACGAATAAATGAGTCTGACCTTTCTGAAGGTCAATGTGGTAATATCTACCAAAATTTAAATATCAAGATAAAATAAAATTCAAAGGTTTGAAAGTATCAAAAGTGACAATGAGATATGACACCTACTAGTACCAAGAAGATACAATAATCATGAATCTATAAGTCTAGGCTTAGCATGTATAAAGCAATAAACAAATTATCCTGGGAAGAAATAGACAAATCCAAAGAACAGAATATAAACAATGAGATAAGTGATTTGGGGAAAAAAAGCGAAAGGATGAACTAGTTCAGATATCTAGAAATACACATACAACAGGGGACACTTTCTTTTTTAAAGATTTATTTATCTA